GAATCGTCCCGTCTGCGTCCCTCCCTACCCAAGCCCGAACTTCCACCCGTCGGTTCCATGCCTCCTCTAAGACGTCCTCCAGCCGCTGCACCGCTCCGTTCAGCAGTGGGGCCTCGAGCGTGCGGAGATACATGGCCGCTTGCAGCAACTGCCTGTATTTGAGGACGGCGGGGTCGTCCCCCCCCCGGCGAGAAGCGAACTCGTCGTCCTGTGGATCGAGTTGGTGGCGGGCGATGAGCTCGGTGGCGGTCTCCACCAGGGCGAGGAGGGCGGGGGCGTGCTGGGCCCCGACATCCAGGACGGCGAATGACCAGAGCACGAGGGACACGTCTTTCACCGTCAGCCGCCGCCCTTGCCCGGCCAGGGCCTCCCAGTACGCCGTCAAGAAAGCGTCTTGCGGGCGGTAGTGGAGCGTGGCCAGCCCGTGCGCCAGTTTCCAGAGCTCGCCTTTGGTAAAGCGGCCCAGTCGGGGAGCCACGAGCGCCTCGAAGTCCTCCATAAAGGAGGTCCCCGGGTAGTAGCCCAGGCGCGCCACGGAGTGGAGCATGGAGGAGAAGCCTGCGGGGGTGAACTGGTCGAGTTTGAGGTGGCAGGCTTGGAAGTAGACGGGCATGAACTCGACGCCTGCGGAAAAATGGAGGGAGAGGTGGGGTGGAGGGGGAGGACGGGAGGGAAGGAGGGGAAGAGAATAAGGGTGGACGGCCCACAGAGGCCTGTCGATCATGCGACAGAAGAAGGGCCTGTGTGCGAGACAATATTGGCACCACCACCACCCCCTTTCCACCGGGCTCCCCCCCCAGGCCCAGACCTGGATCATGCTGGAGCTTGAAGAGGCCGAAAATGAAGTTACAGAGGGCCTGAGGGTTGAAGGCGGACAGCTTCTCCTTGGCCTTGGCCACCACGCGACGAAGGAAGGGCTCGGGGGGCAGGTACAGGAGCTTGGAGAGGGCGGTGATGGCGTTGGGGATATCGAGCCAGGAGAAGTCGTCGAGCTGCCGGTCCATCTCCCGGACGAGAAGGGCCATGAACTCGGGGGGGGGCTGGTGCCGCAGCGTGGCCAGCCCCTGGATGGTGCTCGAGAGGGCACGGGGGGGGAAATTGTGGAGCTTCCGCATGGCGCAGGCGGTGAAGACTTTGAGAAAGGGCTTGCCGGGGTCGTGCCCGAGCTTGGCGAAGCCTCGAATGATGCTCATGAGACCTACGGGCTGGAAGTCCATAAGGCTGTTGGCGACCACCTCGGTGAAGAGCGCCATGAACTCGAGCCCTGGCTGGTAGCAGTCCAGGTTGACAAAGGCGCTCATGATGTGCGAGAGGGAGTAGGGGTCAAAGCAATGGTCGTCCCCGCGGAGGTCGGAGGAGGGTCCCTTCGGCGGCGGCAAAGGAAAAGGCTGCAGAGGGCCCCGAGCTACCTGGTCTCGAAGACGCCCTAGCATGCCGTCGCGGAGGCGGTCGAGGAAGTGTGGCGGAGGGACGTGCTCCAAATGGGCCAGGGCGGTGAGGATCTTGCTGTAGGACTGGGCGCTGAAGCCGGCGGGCGCCTCGGACTGCTCCTCTATACGGGCGAGCAAACCGTGGAAGCGGGGATCTCGACGCACCCGCAGCTTCTCCTCCCGGTGCTCCCGAGAAAGGAGGGCGCCTAGTTTGAAGAGGGCCTTGACTAGCCCCTCGCTCCGGTACAGTCGGAGGAAATCGGCCACCTCCGCGTCAGCCACCAGGGCCAGCACATCCTCCGCCGTGTACTCCCTTCCACTCAAGATCTTGACCACTCGGGCTTGGCGATCCGAACCACTCCCGCCTTTAGCCTCCCCTTTCGCCGGCTCTCTCGCTACCTCTCTTTTCCTCCCTCGTTCCCTCCCTCCGCCAATGCCAGCATTCCCCCTTTGGTGGGAGCCGCCGCCACCACCGTACGCACGCTTGCCCGTCCTATCACCGTCGCGGGTCGTTCCCCTTGTCCCTGTCTCATCGTGGGTCTCTTTACTACTATCAAGATACTGGTGGCGGCGATGTTGCACAGGGGGTGCTTTATAGCCGTTTTGCTCGCTCGGCCCCTGCCAAACCAGATGCGTTGGCGCTCGGCGTAGGACAAATGGTAGTACTGCCGGAAAATTTTTCGACGGCACAAAAGCGCAGCATCGACCACCTGAGCGGCCATAGCTACCCTTCCAGCTCAATGTGCTCCATAGTACAACGCCTGGCAAAGACGTGATAGTGAAAAATGAGGCAATAGCCATGTTGATGTTACAAGTATTTAAAACTTACTGCTGGCAAAAAGGCATCGCACAGATTCCCAGGCTGGCAGTCGTCGTCTTGGCATCCCGTAAGAGTGTTGGAGAGCATTAAGACGGAGCGCACTCCGCCGTGCTGCTGTCATGTATCTGTGATCAATCGTTCGCAGCAGGTGGAGAAAGGCAGATCGTAAGCGAAGTACTTTGCCCAGCCGTAAACTTCCAAGGGCTCTGAATTTTTGGCTTCAGCGGACACATTTGCACTTCAGAAGGAATAAAGAGAGAAAATATCACCTGCAAACTATCGAAAACTATTGTTGCCGCCAACCACTCCTAATCTTGTATTGTGTCGCGAGTGCGTCTCGATCTTTTCCAGCACTAGCTGCTGGGTATCTTCGGCGGGATTCGAGGGAGGCGTCGTTTCAGCATAGTTGCTCAGCACGGTTGCCACACGACAAATAACTTTGAAAATGTCGATCACAGCTTAGTAACTATGGTGTCATCGCACAGATCTTAGCGAGAAAAGCCTGATAAAGGGGAAACGTGTAGAATATTCGGTTTCGCGGTAATTGTATACATATCGAACCCCGGCACGGGCCTCGGAGAGGCATGCTCAATGGCGCGGAGGGCCGATGCAATGACGGACGAGCACTTTTCAGAGGGATGCGACATTATAATGTGGATGGTAGATCATTTTGTGCCTCAATTCGTTCCCGGCTGTTCTGCGGTGAGATCACTAATGTGGTGGCCGAGGCCCCCGGACAACGTAGGCGAGGACCCGAGCTAATTGACGACTGAACGACCTCGTGCATAAATTCAAGAAAGAGGTGTTCACCGGCAAAAAAGAAATAAAAAAATATTCATACAGAGCCGGAAGGCTCCATGAATTACTCCTCGCAGAGAAGGAATCTTCTTCCACGAAGACATCAGTCCGGTACACTACATGTCCACTGTTCCCTGTTCACTCGCCCGGTGCAAACAGCCAGGGTATTCCACCTGCTTT